ATAAATTCAAGAAATTTAAACTTACTGGAAATAATAAGGACTTGGGGGACTATAGGAAATAGAGAGAGCTGGTTAAAAGGGCAAAAACTGTATGTGAAAAAGGGTTGGCTGAGAGAGTCAAATCAAACAATAAGGAATTCTTTAAATATATGATAGCAAAATTTTAGGATGGGGATTGGGCTTCTTAGAAATGATAGTGTGGAACTGATCTTGGAAGATTATGAGATGGTAAGCCTATCAAATTATATGTTCTATTCTTTTTTTACAAAAGAAGATACAAGTATTATGCCTCAACCAGAGCACTTAATGTATGGAAAAAATACTGATGTAAAAGATGTCATTTTAAGGTCTAAAAATGTAAGATAAAAGTTGGGAAACCTAAAAATTGATAAATCCTCTGGACTAGACTTTTATCCTAGAGTTTTAAAGAAACTTGAATATTTTATTTGTGAACCTCTAGCTAATACATTTTTATAGGTCACTGAATAGTGGAACAATATCAGAAGATAGGAAGTTGGCTAATATTAGTCCAATATTTAAAAGGAGGTGATAAACATTGTCCAGCAATTATAGGCCAATTAGTCTTACATCAGTAATTGGAAAGTGTGATTATAGATTCATAGCAAAGTCACTTAAAGTAGTTTGATATTGTGTCAAAGAGCCAGCATGGTTTCACTAAAGGAAAGTCTTGTTTAACAAATCTTCTGACATTCTCTAAAGATGTTACTACAAGAGTTGATGAAGGAAATACTGTGAATTTGGTTTACCTCGATTTTCAGAAAGCATTTGGTAAGGTGCTCAAAAAAAAAAAGAAAGACTTGTTACAAATATTAAATCTGTGGGGGAAATGTTATTAAATTAGATAGAAAATTGGCTGTAGAGTAAAAAAGCAGAGAGTAGTAATAAATGAAGTTAGATCTGACTGGATCACAGTTAAAAGTGGTGTGCCTAAGGGCTTTGTGCTGGGTCCTCTGCTGTTTGTGATTCATATTAATGATATTGACTCTGGAATGACTAACAAAATTTTGAAGTTTGCAGATGACATTAATATTTTTGGGGTGGCTAACTGTATCAAAGATGCTGCAGGGAGATTTAGATCATTGGATGCATTGAGCCAATATGTGGCAGATGATGTTTAACAATTCAAAATGTAAGGTGAAGCATGAAGGTTTTCACAATTCAAATTAATGTTACAATTTAAATGGGAATACATTAAATACTGTGGTTGAAGAAAAAGATCTTGGTGTTGTGGTTAAAAATCATTTTAGTCATCTAAACAATGTATTGTAGCTAGTAATAAGGCTAATAAGATTTTGGGTAACATCTATAAAAATATTGAATACAAGACAAGGGATATTATTGTTTCACTGTATAAATCATCTGTAAGGCCTCATTTAGAGTACTGTATACAGTTTTGAGCTCCCTTCCTCAAGAAGGATATTGAATTGTTGGAAAAGGTTCAGAGAAGAACCACTAGGATGATACCTGGGATGGTGGGATTGTTCTATGAGGAGTGACTAAAATATCTAAACTTATAAACTCTCTCGAGAGGAGAAGGGTCAGAGGGGATTTGATTGAGGTGTTTAAGATTATTAAGGGTGTTGATAATATAGATCCACCAAATGTTTTTGTGTTAAGCAGTGAAAACAATAGGACAAGGGGTCATAAATTCAACTTTTGGCAGTGTAGGAGTTGTCTGCAGTTTAGCCAGCATTACTTTTCAAACAGACTGGTTGGTTAATGGAATGAGCTGCCTTCAAGGGTGGTGGAGGCAGAAAATTTAACTGAGTTAAAAGAAAGATTAAATGAATACATGAGTAGTAAGGGGTGGTTATAGTTGAGAGCTGGAAGGGACATCCTTGATGGGCTAATAATAATATTAATAAGCTCCTTTTTGTCCCTTTAAAATTTTTATGAATTCATGATATTCAACATTCCAAATTAAAATTCTTTCCCACTATGTATATTTAATGTTAATCTATAAAAATACATGAAAATATAAACACAAATACATTTTGACATAATAATAATAATACCTTTTGGAAATACACAAATATATACTTGATTTCCCCATCCAGCATCAGGAGGATAAAATCTTCCTTTTACAAGTCGCACTCCACGTAGTGCGCCACCAGAATCTGGATTACGATATTTCAATCCAGAAGTTCCAGGAAATTGAGCAGATAACGTAGATAAAAGGAGAGTTCCATCATCTTCACATGGTAGCTCGATTATTTCGTCGTTTTCTTCTTCGGAAACCTGTATAAAACTCATTGTTTTACCTAATTCGTTTAATTTTAGGGTTAGGCCTACTTTCAGTTACGAACCTCGGTAGTTGTATTAGAAATAAAATGGTTGCCACTCCGAAACATGTGCAGTCTTTCTACTTTCTAAACTTACATTGCGCACTCTCGGTTACGTTGTACCGTATATAATTCCCTAGAGTTTTATGCCATCTCGCGGTAGTAGTTAAAATGAGGAAAATGTTCCCACATATCTTTGGTATGCTAGTTAGTTGACGTGCAAGTTATTGGTGTAACCCTGAAAAGAATTATTATTATAATAAACCTAGGGAGAGGTGATTACGATTATTTAAATATATTATTCAAGTAATTTTGCTTTTGTTGTTTCTTGTACAGTAAGCCTACAAAAGTGTAGTGATACTGGAGTGGTGATAGACACTCGTTCTCGTACTGTGTATATCGATCTTATTCTTAGTTTATTGATGAGTGAGGTCACATAGTAATATTACTTCTTAGTACTGAGTAACCTAATAATAGTATTGTGAAAAGCGTGCAGAAATTAAGCCTTAATTTAAGGGCTAGGGGAAATATTAAATAATTCCTAACAAATGTTATGAAATCAAATTTTTACAAGGATACAAGTCTTATTATTGCTTTAATTTGTTTGCTTTGTTATTAGAGCTTAGAAGTTTAAAGCTAGCTGCAGGTTTGGTTTAGTTGTGTTGTCTACAGAGTTTAATTTTAACATTATTCGAGTCTGTTTTGTTACTCCCAGTGCTGTTATATTAGTAAATAAATTTTTCATTAAATTAGTACTTAAAGAAGGTAGGAATAAATTTTGCATATAAGAAATGAATGATTAACGTATAAGGTGACATAACTTGATATTTGCTTCCATAACACTGAAGTTTGCATTTTAATGCCTTCAGTCTGACTACCTATAGTAGAATATATATATATATATACGTATATAATACCCTAACCATTTTAAACACTTGAGTAATGCCTCATCCACCTATTGTTACACTTGGAATAAAGCAGATCCCATTTTCAGTACTTTTTAGTAGTGTTTTTTTTTAAATGAGGTGTCAGTTTAGTTGCATGCCCTACACAAGCTTGTTAATATTCTTCTTATAAGGGATGTAAATGCATACAACTCAAAATGAGACCACACCAGAGTTTTATACAAGGTTAAAACAACCCTCTTATGCTTTTATTAAAAACTCATTTTAATGGACTTCAGAGCTATAAAAGCTCTTTCATCATGACAGAACAATCACATCATAAGACTTGCCATTTTCTACAGTAATAAACCTTTTTTTCATACAAAAAAGTATATGTAAGCACTTTCCAAGTTTCTTCACATTAAGTGCATTATTTCACACTTCTCATTTTGAAAGCTTATTTTTCACATTCAGTCTTCTCACTAAGTCTGCCCTGGTCTGGAAGAAACTAACAGTATTAATCTAAAATAACATCTTAACATGGTTAATGAACTTGGAAAATAATTAGACATCCAAATCATTAATATAACTATTGAACTGCAACAGGCAGAAATCAGACATTAGAGAAAACTCAATAATAACATTTTGACAGCTAATACCATGCTTCACTGCCTAATAAAAAGTCAGATTTTTGAGTACAGGGCTCTTTTGAAAATGTAGACTTGTTTGTAGGTAAAAGTCACTTCTTTAGTATTGCATGTATAAATTTGTAAAACAGTATGCCATATGAGATAGCTGGTTTGTTTTCAAGGTCTTATTGGACATATTTATTGGAGACAAGAATGAGTAAACAGAGAGATAATTAAGATTATAACATTTAAAGAGACAACAAGAAGCTTGTTTGTCTATCTAGTCTGTCCCATCCACTAAACTATAAAAAAAATTCAAAACCACCCCATTATCATTTAAATATTTATAAATCCTTCCCTTAAAACTCCCTTAAATTTACTACTTACACCACATCTGAAGGCAACCCATTTCAAAGGTTAACTACCTTATTATAAAGATAAAAACATTTTGGCTGAAGATGACTCCTATCCTCACAAAATTTATATTTTTGTTCCTTAGTTCTACCATTCCCAACATTAGGTACAAAAAAAGATAATGCATCAACACCTTCAGTTCATTTGACAATTTTAAACAGCAAAACCAAAACTAAATTTGTATGTTCACATTCATACACCTATCCAATAAAGGTTTAAAAAGTGTTCGAATAACATACGCTGATTCATCTGACCAACCAGTCCAAAAGTTTATAAATCAGAGGAATAATTTTACTGAAGAGCAAGTCTAGATCTAGGTTTTGAAAACTGAAACATGTTATATTCCTAATATTAAAGTTCTCATTTACGATACTTTTACTTTACTACTCAAGATTCTCATTCACAAACAGATTGTCCAAGCTTCTAATAATTTTAAACACTTGAATCAAGTCACTCTTGGGTCATATTTAAGAGCTACTCCATATAAAACGAGTACAGAAACTTAAGCTTCTCTTTTGTTGCTCGAATATTATAAACTAAGTATCATTATAATATCTCTATATTATCATACATGCATTATCCCTAAAGTAACTGTACATTTATTTTTTCAAAATTTATAATTTATTTCAGCAACTCTTAGACATAAAATTTGATTTTTAACAGTTTGCTACCATGTCTTTAGAGGCAAATGTCAGTTGGGTTGGTCGTTTAGCTTTAGCTGTTGGAGCAACAGAACCTGCTCTACGTTTGTTGCTATCTGTTCTTATTGGTAAGTATCAGTTTATGCTTTTAAAGACACTTTGGAATACTTAAGTAGTTGATCACATATTTATTGGTTTTGCAAACATTTAGTGTATTTCAAAAATTATTTTTTCATGCAGTTTAGGGGTCATGATTTTATATAATGAGCATTTCTATCAAATTTTAAAAAGTCATGAGTATTTATTGAAAAAATTACTTTATTTGAAAGATATAATCTCTAACTTGAAAATTTTGGTAAACAGTAGCTTCTGACTGTGTAAAGGAAATAGTAAATATAGTAACTGCAGAGCTAAAAAGAATTTTAAAAATCACTTTGTTCATTTGTACAAATGCTAAAATTACTTTGAAATTGTAAAAACTAAGATATTTACAGTACTTGTTACTGAATTTTATTGAAAAGAGTATCTGGGAATTCTGTAAAGTGTTTTATATGGTTAAGCTTGAAGAAAATAATTTTATTGCTCTTCAGAACATATATTTTAATCGAAAATCCAATTTTAAGTGTATAAAACAGAACATAAAACATCTAATAACAGAAAAATTAAAAAATTTTAGTATAAGGAAGCTTACTAGCATATTGATAAATAATGATACATGTAAAAAACTGAAATACTTTCTATGGATTAATAGGGACTATATCTTTTAATACAAAATAAAGGCAAATCATAAAGAGTTATATCCTTGTGTTAAGTAAAAAAAGGTATGTGACTATTGAAAGCTCAAAACTTAACCATATGTATGTCTGATTTAAAAGTATAAATGACAAAGATAATTGTGTATGTATATTTTATATATATATATATATAGGTCTGTAGCTAACTGTGTTGTTGTGTATGTAAGTGACTTTTAGTTTAAAACTGAAATTTAGATTTTAGATTTTTGAAGCTTGAAACAAGTTAGTAAATGTATATAAATTTTCAAGAGAGAAAATTGAAGCTTTGGTTGAGTTCAACCATTTATTGTATCATTTAGTAATATTTGTTCTTTCATTTCCAATGAATAATAAGAGGCTATTTAATCCATCAAGACCTGTCATTTTCTACTACCAGTACAAAATATATATATTTATAGAAACATCTTTCCCTGGATTCAGTCTTGATCTCTAGAACATTTATCCAGTCTTCTCTTAAACTCTATCAATGTTGCAGCTTTTACCACACCTGAAGGAAGCTAGATTTGCACAATAGGTGGAATATGATAATCGATTAATCACAGGCTCATTGATCAACTAATTGATTATTCTCACATGATATTGGATAGCTGGAATAATCAAAAATAGTAATAATCAGAAACACTAATTTCAATTTGTTGATTATTTTTGTGAGACATGACAGCAATCAAATAACCATATCTATGCAGACTTATCATTTTGACCCTTGCAACCACTATGTAGTCATGCATACTCTTAACATTTAACATAGTATGTTAATCTGTACAAAATCTGTCAAGTATTTTTACTAAAAATTTGTCTGTGAACTTATGGAATCATATTTTGACTCTTCTGATTGCATAGTAATTTTCGTGTTAAGATTAAAAATACTTTTTTTTTTCATCTTACAGTTTTCAAATTTCTTTTGCATAACCTCTAGAGCCTCCTAAATCAATATCAAAATTTTTTGTTAGTAAAACTTTATATAAGATGATCACTCTTGCTATATTAGCTTGTTTTATATAATTGATACTTTAAGCCATCAATACTTGGTGAAACTCCATAATTACAAAACTGAGGAAAATACAAAGACAAATGATGCTTTTCCTGGCAAAACCATGGTCATTAATAAGTGAAGTATTTGTGAAATATACAATTTTCTTTTTTTTCCCCTCAATTCTGTAATTATGGAGTTTCACTAAGTACCAATGGTTTCAAGTATCAATTATGTAAAACTTTTATATTTTATTTTTATATGTTATTTTCACTATCCTAATACTATACAGGTTCTCAGACCATTTGATCAGCCTTATAACAACCACTAAAACATATGAAATAAATCTGCCCTTTTTCTTTCTTGAATGACTGCAGATAGTAACAGGAAATTACAATTATTTATCCTAAACAGCCTCAGGCTCATAACAGTTTGTTTTCATTTACTTTTATTGTTTTATTGCTCTGTGAACCATGTCTAACTAATAAACATGCATAACAAAGCTACAAATTGCCAGTGAATGCATAGCTCAAGTTACAATAATTAGTATGTTGAATTACGTAATGTCCAAACTTCTTACATACATACTTTGCTGAGAAATTCTTTTTTTTTATTTATGTCTTATTCTCTGACCTAACTAGTTTCTAATTTTTACATTTTAGTTATTTTTATAACAACCAACCAATAAAATATATATACTTAAAAAATCAAGAAATTTAGTACTAACTTGTGGCTCTTGTACTTTTTTGCAGTCAAAGTCTCAATAAGGTTAATTGTAATTTTTACTAGGATTGTTTTAGTACTTTACTGAATTTTTATTTCAGGTCTTCAACTTAGAACATAAAAGAATAACATAAACAAAGAGTATAATTTCCTATAATTATTCTAATTTAACTAGCTCTCTGACAAAGCTATAACTAAATAATTCCCTTAGCTGGTCAACCTGAATAGTAACTTTGAAGGCCAAATAGTTTAAAAGCTATTGTGAGAATGAATTAGCATAATACATAAATCAGTAAATTAAAATAATATTTTTCTATTATTTATAAATAATGTGATATCAAACATCAGAGAGAATTATTGACGTTTTATGAAAGATAATATATGATAGGAGGGTATGACATGTGGGTCTGACATTCTGGTTTACATCTAAGAAAAGCAAGATGATTATAGGCTATAAAATTAGATTTTGTCTTAGTAATACGAATAATGTAGGTTTATAACTTGCATTAAAACTCAGAAGCTCAAACAGGAATGGAAAGAATGTTGAATTTGGAGTAAACAAGTGATACAGAAAACTGACCATTGAGAATTTATTTAGATATTTTCTTTTGAAATTATAAATGAAAACCTACATAATATTAAAACTTGATTTATGAACTATGTTTTGATGCCAAATTGGAATAATTTAAAATAGTAATAATCAGAAGCGCTTGATTAATTGATTATTTTCATGACATTAATCAATTTATTCATAATTTCAATTAACCAATTGTCTTATGTGATACTAATCAATGTAATTGATGTTCTTAGGTAATCTTTTATATTGATTAAATGAATTAGTCAATCGGTACTAATAATAACCATAAATATGTTGTATTTTTCAGGCTATCCATTGGCTGTTGTTCATCGACAGTTACTTTATTGCAAGTCGCCACCACTTCAGCATATCTTCTTTATGCTGTGTGGACTTGGAATAGGATATTTCAATTATGGTTAGGCTTAGTTATGTATAATATTTCCTTTGTATATAACTGCTTAAAACATTACTTTTCTTGCAGGTGTTTTCTATAATATTTTCATAATATTCAACATTCCGATACAATACCATACCTCTTGTCACTTAATAGCTTTCCTTGATTCATGCTGCCTTCTATAAGTGCAATTTTCGTACTCCACTTGCCTTGAGGCTCTCACTTAACATCACGTATTTACACATGATATAACTGCAATGTAGTGTGCGAATGAACAAACCTCCTCCAATAAAAGTGCAACAACACACCCTCCTAGCATAGCTGACTTCCTCTGTACTGTAAAGCACAATCATAATTTCTTGATTTGTTACTCGTGTGTAATAATGTGTCTTTTGTGAACTTTTCAGAGATAGGAATTTTTTAAGTGGGTGTATCAGTAACTTCTACTTTGTCTGGTGTGAGACAACAAGACATTGTTCATGCTAGTCTCACACCTTTATTGGCATCAGGTTTGTCTTTGTCTGTTGAGAGAAGTGATGGCTTTTGTGCAGGGGGAGTGTGGGTGAAGTAGTTCCTGAAGCCTTTGCCTTCTTTTGTACCTGATATATTTTCCCTATGTTTCTCATTCATGATAGAAAGGTTTTTGCCAGTTTTTTACTACTACCTACCTTAGCTTAATGTTATACTCATGCTGTCTTGAATATACCTATGCTTTTTAATAATTTTGGGACTGGCTTTTTCAGATATGTTTCGCTCCTCCTATTTGTAATTTGTTCCCTGCTTCTTCTTTTTATGTTTTTTCACTTTCTCTCCAGATATGTTAGATCATATTCATTTACTTTTAACACTACTTTGGTGCATGTATGCCTTGTCCTTTTTTGTTTCATTATCTCACATGATTAGGCCTAACTTTGTGCTATATTGCCTTTCTTCGACTCCTGAACTCTGGAGTCTTTTCTTCAGATTTGGAGGTTGAACCCTCTGTCTTTTGTTCATCTTTTCTTAAGCTTAAGTTTTCCGAACTTTGTCTTCTACTCTCTACACTTTTCCATTATTTTTCCTCCATTCACCTTCTTGGTTCATGGATGTCTAGTGATGATTCATCTAGCCATATCTGCTGTTGTCTCTGATATCAATCATTAGAGGGGCACCCAGTGTCTCTCTCTCTCTGTTTCCACAATCTCAAACTCTTTTTCTGGACCCATTCTTTACCTATACAGTCATATTCCTGATTCTTGTCACAAATTGTCTTTTCAGGCCCAACAAGATCCTGTGGTGTTCCAGTAGCTGTGCTTTCATCTGGGCACTTCTCATGTTTGCTGCTCAACTCAACACCATATTTCCCCTTTTCTGGTCCCCAGTTTCTCATCCCTCTGCTTTTGCTTTGGATACCTTCAATCAGAACTGGTCCAACCTTTTTCTCTAGGCCTACTCTCCTATTTGTCTTCTCCCTCATATGCTTTCCCTCATTCCGGTCACTCTGTGTCAAGTCCTCCTGCTCACACTTCACTGGCCAGCTTGGCTTTGGTTTCCTCTGTTGAACCTTCTCCAGTCCTCACCATACTTCTTCAACCTCACTTCTCTCTCCCATTTTGTAGGGCCATCACTCCAGATTCATTTGTGGGTTTTCTTCAGTTCCTTATGAGACATTCGAGATTCTCTTTATGTGTGGCCTTCCTTCTTTCTATTTCCATTTGTTTATCTTCTCTCCTTGTCTGTGCATCATGCTTTCTCCTCTTCTGATCCTTCTATCTCCCATCTTGCTGAATTTTTACATGGTTGTTTGCTCATGGCATATTGCTGGCTACAGAGCAGCTCTACCTATGGTTTTCCCATTATCGTCATGAATTCTCCTCCCCTGTTCTTTCTCTTCTCTTTCGTTCTTTTTGCCACCTTTATCCTCATTGTGTGACAGTCCTTCCTGATTGGGAACTAAATGCTGTTCTTCACACCCTTAACTTTCCTCTTTTTACACCATTAATCTCTTGTTTCTTGTACTGTCTTTTGCTTTAGCCCTATTTCTTCATTTTTTGTGAATGGCCATAGCAGATCTGATGTATATGCCATTGATGCTTCCCATATTCTTCTCCATCGTACTTATATTCTTCATTATTCTGCTTGTGCTTTTCTTCCTAAAACATCTGTGGCTCATGAAGGGAAGAGCATGTTCACTCCTATTTATCTTCCTTCCATTTCTCACTCATTCTCATTCTGATCTGCTTCATTTCTCTCTGTCCCATCTATGTGGTTGTTGTTATTTGGCCTGTACTTCTCATTTTCATGGTTCACACTATCATCTATATATCCTATAGATTTCCTCATTTCCCCTAAATATTTCTCTTGTTACCCTTACATGGTGGCTACAGCAGCTCATCCATTTAACCTATGCTTCATTAGATATAGATCCACATTGACTCTTTCAGGTCTACTCTTGCCAAATCTGGCACCTTACTCTCCCTCTGGCTGCTCACTTCCGTTGGTGGGGATTGTGTGGACTGTCCTACATAATTTTGTTGCGCATTCTCTCCATCACCCGGCCATCTCTTATTCTTTGGGATACTAACTTTCTATTATTGCCATTCAACATAGCTTACTGGCTCTGACTAGGTGGGTTCTTTTTCTATATCTCTTACCTTTGCAATGGCCCTTTTATACATCTCAGGATCTTGTTAAGGGTATACTTAACTTTAAATCCACACCATGCAATCTTTAAGATCTTTAAACTCACTGATGAGATTGGGTGTTCCACAAGACTGCTCTAGGGGTTCTCATGGTATATTGCTTCATAAATAAGGTCTGTTCCAAACCATACCAACTCATGGACTACCATGAGTAAAACACTGTCAGGATTCCTGCCCATTCCTATGGTGTTAATTGAATAAACCTGGACTGGCCTGCTTTTCAAAATAAGGTTTTCATGCTCATCCATTGCACAGTTTTAAGTGTTGCATTCTTCCAGACTCTTCACTGTTTTCTCCTCCCCTCTTTGTGTGGAGTATAGGAGTCCTTGCCACTTACCAGTTCCTAGCCACTGGGGTGGTGGACCATGGAGGCTTCCTCCTGGTTTTTAGACTGGAGTTGAACCCCTATGTTTGTGTTCTCTCTTCCTACTATTGCCTTTAGGATAGGTTACTGGGTGGCTTGGTGTTGGTTGTATACTGGGTCTGCACATGTGCTTTTCATAGGTTGCTGGAATGGAAGTTTCTTTTCCCTTCTGCTTCCTGGCCTTGAGGTGAATAAAATTGGGACCCTCCTCTTACTGTGGACTGGAAGACATAGCTGATGCCACCTGATCTTGGACTGGTAGTGACCTATCCAAGTATGGTCTGATGTGCCCTAGCCACTCTGGTGCATCAATTTCCAAAATTAGATTTGCATCCTTCCTGCCTGGCTTGATGACATGTATCTTCACAGCAGGAGAAGAGTATACCTTGGTACAGGTGAGGTGTGTTCTTTCATCGTTGTGACCCTATATTTTAGAGTATCACACTCCATGGGTTCTCATTGGGCACCATTCGAAAGGGGCTCTGCCAGGTAAATTTTGCACTGGTCTCTCCACTGTTTCAATGTGGTATTCTAGTTATTATGGGAGTGGGTGTATCGTATTGGAAATTTCTGATAGACACTAATTTCCTCTCACACTTCTCACCCATCTTCACCACTTCCAGTGCATCTTTTCTTGTCTGATTTCGAAGTGATGATTGTGCTCTACAGTATAGAAGGATCTAGCTGCATTACAAGGGTGTGTTGTTCTCCTGTTGGTGGAGGGTTGTATCATACTCATTTGCATGCTACAATGCAGCTATACCACATGTAAACACATGATGTTAGGTGAGAGCCTCAAAGCTAATGATGAGCAAAAATTGTGCATATAGTGGGCAGCACAAATCAAGAGAAGTATCTATCAGAAATACATTTTCAGTGTTGAAAAATGTTAACTTTTAATTACTAGAAAACAATATTAAAAACACTGGCTTTCCTGTATGTAAGACTAAAGCTATTAATAACGTTTTCAAACTGGTACGATAAAATATTCATCAACATTTTAAAAATAGAAGAAAAATGCCAATAGATTCTTGTAACTGAGGAACACCATGATAAAATAAAATAGTTAATGATTTGACAAGCTAGAAAAATATTCCACAAACTTTCCAAAATAGGCAACGTGAATGAAAAGAGAAAAATAAATGTTGATTTTTTATAGAATCATCACTAATCAATTTCTGGGTTTTCTTAAGAATTTTGTTTTGTTTTTCAGGTTTAGAAGTTTTACATTCTGTGGCATGTGTAGTTATCTTGTATCTAAACCTACTTCTTATTGGCGGAACAGTCTTGTCAGTTATTTTGTCTCTTTCATTCTTCATGGTAAGTACATGCAATGGCACATTCGTTTTAGGAGCAGTCTGAAAATTGTTTGTTTCAATTTTTCAAACTATTTATCTAGTGTGCATTCATAGTAAGTTTATTTTAAAATATACTTGTGATACTTAATTTCCAATAAGGTACTCCCCTCTACTCAGAAGATTGTTTTTTCTCGTTTTATGCTGCCCCCTATATGCAAACTTTTTTTAAAACACATGTCACAAGCTTTTTTCATCCCTCTGTTGGAATCCAATATTCCAACATGTCTCTCATGCATCATCTCTCCACCGATAGGAGAGAACTACTATCACGTGACACATGATTCCCTCTACGCGCTACCACCAAACTATCATTTCTCATTTGGCACCTGTCGAGTGCAGACATTCTTTTTTCGTTACCTTGAAGGGGTTTAACTTTCAGTTTTGCTTTTGTTTAATAACTTTACTTTCCTACCTCATTTCTTTGAAGATAATCTGATTTCTAAAAGCCTTTACTACTCGTGTTTGCTGCTTATTTCCCTAAATTCTGATGTTACAGTCACCACTTCAAGTACACCACCTGCATCTGATGCTGTTCTTTTCAAACATGGCACGGGTAATCCGTTGGGGGATTTATTGTCAATCGTTTGTTGGGAGATCGAGCATTATATGAGTCAGTCTCTGTCACCTGCTTCTGCCCCACTTCCTTCAGAGCCTTTCGAGCCTGGATTTGCTTAACATCTGGTGAACTTTCCCTTTCTCAGCCAACAATTGTTGGGTTTTCTTCTACCTGTATGGGGGGTGAACCTGATTATCCTGTCCAACTTACCCAAGCTCAATATTCTTGCCTTTGTCTAACCCTAATGATCCTTTTGTGGTACCTCTCCTCCCTCAACTCCTGTCCGAGGCTCTTCACATGAACTCTGAGGTGTTCTCTGTTGATATCCTCTCCCTCCCTACTTCTACGTTGATTCGTCTGTTGTCTTTGGCTCTCGCACTGCAAACGTCTACAAACTCCATATCTTCGGAACCTATGCATGGCCCCATTTCTATGGAGCTTTGTGTTCAACATGGTTCCAGAGTTTTTGGAGTCATGGGTGGCCTTAGTCCATCAACAATCCACCTTTTACATCTGGTGACCTGTTTGTTGCAGTCGCTGCTGAGAGTAGCACCAATTCTTATTTCCTGTCCCTCTCCTTCCCAACCTCTACCTGTCCCACCTTCCCACGGTGCCTCTGTTCGATGATTTTCAAGATGACGCACAGTACACCAACAATTGTACTGGTGATTACGTGATCGGTTTGGGCACAGTGAAAGCTTGACTGTCGAATTTTGTTCTTTTGTGGAGCCCTTTTCTCTCCAGTGTTTGGGTTCACAGAGTTCTCTCAGAAGGATTTGTTACCCCATTTCTTTCCCCTCCTTCTTTATCCAGTGTCCCCCGACCCTTTCCTCCTTCTCGGGATCCCTTAACATACCAGCATCTTTCAGAGGTGGTTCAAGACCTCATAATGCAACAGGCTATCGAACCAGTTCCCCCAGGTTTAGAGTTTTTTACTCCCACCTGTATGTCCATTCTCAAGAAGACCGGGGACTGGCATCCAGTCATCAACCTGCCCTGCCTCAATCAATATGTCCATGCTCCTCACTTTACCATGGAAACCTACCTTTCTCTTTGGTGGGCCTCTTCTCCAGACCTTTGGATGACCAAGATAGACGTTTCTAATGCTTATCTGCATATTCCCATAGTGGAACAATTTTGTCCTTATATTCAGTTTGTTCACTGGGGTGTGATACACCAATTTAGTGCCTTGCCTTTTGGCTTGGCTTTGGTAACATACAGGTTCTGTCGAGTGGTACACTTCTTTGCTCAGCATATTCATTCCATGGGGTTGTGCTTCCACATTTATATGGACGACTGGCTTGTTCTTGCTCATTCCAAAAGGGAATTGGTCAGTCATACTTGTTAGCTCCTCATCGTAGCTGCACGGTTATGCTGTTGATCAAATTGGAGAATTCTTCTTCATCCTACCCAGTACCTTGTTCATTTGAGTGTTTTCTTCAATACCCATCTCAGTTGGGCTCAACTTTCTTCCCTCCAGCTCCATTCTATGGAACTGGCCATTCAGAAAACACTTACTTACTGCTCGCAAGGTTCTATCACTTTTGGGGATATGGTCACCTATGATACCTCTCATACCCCTAGGCAGGGCTCATATGTGATTGCTTCAGTGGGTCTTTCACAATCAATGGAACTTCACCTAGGATCCCTTGGATGCTCCTATATCCCTTCCCTCCTCCCCAATGGATAATCTCCATTGGTGGTTGGACAAGGCCCATACGTCGACAGGTGTTCCGTTTCCTCCTCTGTGGCCAAATTTACATCTGTTCACGGATGCATCCCTTCAGGGCTGAGGTGGGTAGTTCACAAAGAGGTTTTGGGTCATTGGTCTGTGGAGGAAAGTTCTCTTCACATCAATGTCCTCGAACTCGTGGATGTCCATTGGGCTTTGGATCATTTTCTTTTTGTCACCTGCAATCGGCTGGTTATGATCCTTTCTGACAATGTTGTGAAGAACTTTAAAGAGCTCTGTGGTGGTGGCTTATATCAACCACCAAGGTGGCATCTGGTTAAAATCCCTGTGTTTTTCAACTCTGAATCCTCTCTATTGGGCCTACACACATCATATTTGTTTGATTTTGTGTCATGTTCCGGATGCATTCAATCTCATGGCCGATTGTCTTTCCCGACCAGATTGAGTTTATGCCATGGAGTGGTCCCTGCATCCTTCAGCTTTTTGGTGGTTCTGTCATTGTTTGGGTACACCCCATATCGATGCTTTTGCCACCACCCTCAATCACAAATTACCTCAGTTTAGTCCCCGGTTCCCCATCCTCGGGCTTTTGCTATAGATGCCTTCAGACAGGATTGGTCCCACCTGTTCCTATATGTTTATCCTCCTATTTGATTACTTTATCAGGTAGTTTCACTCATCCATACTACTCCGTGCAAAGTTCTTCTGATTTCTCCTTACTGGCCCACTCAACCTTGGTTCTCTTGATTGCTCCAGCTCCATGTTGGTCCCTCCCCTCCCACTTCCCTTACTTCTCGACCTGTGACATCAATCCCATTGCCGGTTCTACATAATGCACTTCCCGTTCTCTAACTTCACTCTTGGCTCCCTGGCAAGGAGTTTCAGATTCTCTTGAGAGTAGCTTCTCATTTAGCCCATTTCATTCATCCTTCTTCTTTGGCTGTTTACCACAGAAAGTGGAGTGTTTTTCATTCCTGGTCTTTGGCTCAGGGTTTCTGGGCTTCTCACCCTACAGCTGCCTGTATCTCTGAGTTCCTTACATGGCTCTCTGAGAAGGGTTTTTCAGTCTCCTTGATTTCTGGTTTTAGGGCAGCCTTATCCCATATCTTCCATTTTTTCCATTTCTGCAGGATTTTTGCTTCTCCAGTCCTTTCCATGTTGATCTATTCTTTCTGGCTCTGTCAATCGCAAATTTGTCCATCACATCTGGACTGGAACATTAACATGGTCCTTCATACCCTTACTTTACTTCCTTTTGAACCTATTTCTTCCTGTTCCTTTTGTTCTGGGGTTCTTGTTCCTGCCTCTTTATCCCATGGCAAACTCCCTCTTCCCATGATCTTTCTCCTGTTACCTTGATCAATTGGCTTATTCCTCCTTGCTCTCCTCCCATCAAATCTGACATTTTACCTTCTCCCTTGCTTCTCATCTCTGTCAACCATTGGAGGAGATTCTATAGTCGGACATGTGGACAACTCTGCACACGTTCATCTCCCACTGCTTGCACCACATCACAGTTTCTGCTTCCTCGGGGTATCACCTGCCATCTGTGACTATTCTACAAACTTTGGTGCAGCTTTGACAGGAAGTTAGTCCTTACTTATGCTTTCTTTTTTCAGGGGCCCTGGCTTCAACTTCTCTTTGGATCCCACTTAGGTATTCTTTCTGAACACTGAATGGATTCCACATAGATGGCTATAATCATTCTCAGATATATTTATACACAAACAAACACAAAAATCTGCACTGTATGCCATGTTGATTCACACTCTTTATCCATTTTATCCATGGCTATGCATGTTCACCCTTGAGATGGGATGTTTCACAAGATCATTAGAGTGTGAATAATCTCTTGATATTTGCTTCGTAACAATGCCCATCCCAGACCGTAACACCAGTGGATGGCATGGGTAAAGCAGAAGGGAATTGCTGCCCATCCCTACCATGCCTTTACTGAATAAGTCGGTATGTTCTGCTTTTAAAAATAGGGTTTCATGATCACCTATTACAATGTCTCGGGTGTAGCAATCCCTCTGAACTTTCCAATGCACTTCCTCCCCTTTCTTCCAATGGAATATGGTAGTCCATACTACTTGCCAGGTCTAAGCCGCTGGGGTGGTTGACCATGGAGGCAACCTGCTGACTGGGTTCCACAAAGATGGTTATAACCATTTAGTTCAGAGTAGGGCAGTGGTGTTCTGCCAGTGTAGAAGGAGTTACAAGATCCTCCAGTTGAGTGACACATACTTGGAGTGAGACATCTAAATACAGTTCACCCCCTCTGATTGGGTGCTCTCCTCCTACCCTCGCATGAATGATGGTTCCCAGCAAGTGAGGTTTTGAAGATTGAGTGAACCCATCACATAAGTCCTCACACAGGTTTCGAGTCATCCATCTCTGTCCTGGGCATTCCCTCATTCTTGGAATGACGAGGGATATTAAGGACTTATGGACATCCCGGACCAGTTTCACGGTCACATTTGATTGCTTGCTATGGACTTCCCTCAGATACCAGATGACACATTCCAGAGTCCCTAACTCAGTGCTCATCCTGTGACATTTCCTGTAGTCAGTATTATATGTACATTCATGACTCTAGGGCTTGAGGTGAAGATGGTATGATCCTCATCCTACCCTCATGTGGATGTTGATACCCAGCGAGTGAGGTTTTGGATGTTGTTGACTTACAGAGTACAGTCCAATGCACCCTAGTCACTCTACACCGTGGGACACAACCTCCATTACCTACTTTCATTACGTGGGATTGAGTTGTATCTGTTTTCTCTGATTGGGATCACATTACTGACCTATACTCTCCCATGTGGATGTGCTCCCTTCATATTCTGCCATGTTTTGATCCCACCTGTTCATGGTGAAGAGATACCTGGTTCAGAAGTGGGGCTGTGCCCCTACTCAGATCAATTGAGCTGTTTCTCTCATCTCCAGGAGTGTCCATTTGGATGCTTTCTGAGTATACGCCTGTTCTTCCCTCACAATGGTCCCTCCTTTTCAATGTGGGATTCCAGCTAATCTTGGGAGTGGAGGGAGAGTATCTAATCGGAAGTTATAATTTTCCTATACAAAAATGTATTTCCAATGGGTACTTCCTTCCAATCACACTTCCCACCTGTCCTCTCCACAATATTCCGGTGATAGCGTCTTCTGCCAAACTTCGAAGTGATGGTTCAGTAGTGGCGTGTAGAGGGAATCACATTCATCACATGATAGTAGTGCTCTTCTATTGGTGGAGAGATGACGCATGATGATTTGCATGAGAGACATGTTGGAATATTGGATTCCAACAGAGAGATGAAGAAGGCTTGTGGCATGTGTTTTGAAAAAAAGTTTGCATATAGAGGGCAGTACAAAACGAGAAAAAATCTGATCTTGTGAGAAGAGGGACATACCCATCGGAAATATATTATCATATAGGAAAATTATAACTTTTCTGGATTGATGAAATCCCTTTCTTTGAACATACTGTAAGAAGTTTAGAACTTGTTATAGTCAGATAATTATTGCTATATATAATTTGTATTACTGACATAACAAGGTTCTAAGATATATTAGAAGTGTTGTAAATAAGGCTACAATTGTGGTATTCTTAGGTAAAAGTGGAGACAACATATTAAGTGTTGAGATTGGAAATGGGAGGTCTGAAAGAGAATGTATTGAACAAAAGTGACAAAGGAAAAATTCAAACACAAGGAGAAAATCTTTAACACACCTTATTCTTGTACTTGGAGCTTGCAAACTTCAGTGTTTCTTGTAATTATATGGCTAATGAGAAGAAATCACTGCTTCACAAAGTATATGAGAAAGTTTATGTCTGTACTCCACAAAAGATGGAAAGGATTATGTCAAAAAACACTTTCAAATCACTAAAGTCTTAGTGTGGTACTCCACAATTCTAGACTACTTTTTTTCACAAATCAGTCACATTATACAAGTAGGGATTAATCCTAACTCGTATCAACCTGTACTGCCTTTTGCATCATCAGTTCAGTTGGATCTGACTCACAAAGGAAAAAGCTATACAGAAGCTTGGCCAAGCAAATGCAGGCTGCATAACAACTTCAGTATATAATCGTGGACCTAACAAGGAATAAAGAAGATTCATCAGTACCTACATCCTTTTCACTAAAACATTAACACCATAATTCCCACTGGTCAGGGAAACCAGGAAAAGTCAGTGAAATTTATGTTATGCTTTTGGGACCAGGAAACATCAGGAAATTTCATTTTGCAGACAAAAACAAGAAAAAGTCAGGGAATTTCATATAATTTGGTGATGCTACTCAGACACAGATGGTGAAAAATAAAATATTATTTGTGCCAAAAACTGTGTACAGGTCAATTCTGATGCACTTAGCATTCAATATACATACAGTTTTGACTCCATTGATTTTTTTTGTTTACCGTTAATTGCCATAGAGAATGAAGACAGCTGTGACAGATTACATAAATAGTAGCTAGGTTCCCACCTAAGTGGAATTTAAGGGTTCTGGAAAAGGCTTTGTCTCATCATCCTAGATGTCATTGAGGATAGTTATACTACATCAGAAAAGCTCTTAACAAATTTCTCTTTATAGATAGGTTGTTTCCATTAAATATGTTATTTTTGATCTTACAAACTCAGATCATTAATAGAACAGACCCTGTGTCAATAGTTATGGAAGGAACATGTAATACCCTGAGTATATTACATTATGGACACATGTTTGTGTAGGAAAGATTTAAAGGATGTTTGATTATTTCATTAAATCCTGGTAGTTCAAAGTTAGAACAAATCTACACAGTAACTAATATTAGGGCACGTGATGCTTTCCAAGAATATGACGTTATTTGTTATTCATGAATCTTTGTAGAAACAAATGAATTTGTGCCAGAGGGTAACTGAATATATGGCATTATTTGTTATTCATGAATTTTTGTAGAAACAAATGAATTTGTGCCAGAGGGTAACTGAATATATAATATTTTCTTAATAATTTGTAATTTAATGCATCAGATACCTGAGTAATATTTTAAGAATTTTCAAGCAACAAACAAGATGCTAGAGATATGAAAGAATAAAGACTGGAGGTAAAGATGAGCATGCACAGTTTGATAGAACTGGATTAACAGTTTTGAAGCTAAAGGCTTTCAGTCCACAATATGCTCTTGAGGTCAAGATGTTAATTATAATGTAGATTGTGTAGTACTGGCATGGTCAAGTATGGATGGTGTGTTAAGTGTTTGTCATTGTGTCTAAATCCAAGGGCCTTACTAGATTAAAAATAATATGAGTAGTTTTAGTAAAAGTTTTACTTATTAGTAGTTTTTATTTAATGTAATTAGCAACACTGTATAAGAACAAAGTGATAGACTTGATACTCGAGAAATGTAGTACTACAATTCAGTGATGAACATGTTTGTGTACAGTAACATTCATGTCTGTGTAGGGATTATAATTCAACTATAAACATTGTGGATGTTTTACAAGCAAGTCATATTCCATCTATGAAGTATCCTGTATGTATAATTAGAATTTATAACTTAATTATTTGTAAGTATAATCTGGTGATCTCATGAACGAACAAAACTTGTATGAATCTGAAAATATTTTCCATAATATGATCAGTCAATTTAATTCAAAGATTTCAGTACTTTTGATACAAATAAACTTGATACACATAGTTTCAAAGCATATGCAAAAAATAATACAATGTGATCTGAATGATTTCTTCAATGTGTGCAATTGTTTTATAGATATTGGAAATATGAGTTTACTGCAGTGTATGGTGAGCAGTGTACATTTTTGTGCATGTATGCACATCAGAAAATATTGCTTTAATAAATATTAGACGTCTGAGAAGTGTACTTGTTAAAGAATATTTCATTTTACAACAAAAAATATATTTCTTCCTTGTATTAACAGTCAAAACATGATAATCATAAATGTTAAAAATCTGTAGTGATGTTTATGTAGTAATAACGTTTTTGGGATTTAATTTAAAATTAAAAAGTATGATTGGTATGCAGGATCACAATCGGATAGATAAACTGCCTTTATTTTGTGTGTTCTGATAAAGTATCAATAATTCTATAATGGTGTGACCAATCAGATTGAAACTTTGCAAGATGACATTTAATTAAACTGTCACTTTTAACATTCCATCTGTCTTGTCTTTAGTTAACAATATATGAATACAATACATGTTGTGCAATTTCACATATTATTATAAGTACCAGTTCAATGATACTTTGCAAACGTAGATCACATGGTCAGGGAATAACATATTTTGATCAAGGAAAGGTCTGGAAAAAGGCAGGGAATTTCTTTCTGCCCAAATTATTGGAACCAAGTAACTAAGTGCAGAACACCTGAGTGAAAAACTAAACATATATTCCTGAATAAAGACATTCTTTTCTAGTTATAAAAGGGTACAAACATAGCAGTTTTCTACTGTTACTCATGTATGCGTTGTTTAAATGGATAATCAAACCTCTGAAGTATTGTAAATGGATGCTACCTGAAACAAGTCTTTTTCAGATACAATACCTCAAGTTAAGAATCATATATATATAAAATTATCATATAAGATTTTTCTTTAAAATCAATTTTAAATTATGTTCTAAATTTATTTCAACATTCATTTATATAAAATTCCTGACAGAGGATACTAATAGCAAATTACACACAGTCCTCATGATATGAATTTATTAAAGTAAATGTTGAGATAGAATTAGTTTTATTTACTAACACATATTTTGCAATTAAGTTTCAATTTTAAAAAGAAAGTTAATGTAACCTGGTATATTATAGTTACTACTTCTTAACTACTTACTTCAGATTCTAACTTTGTTGTATGGAAAGCTTTGAAATACACATTAGTAAATATTTTTTTTAATATGATTTGAGATGAGCATCTTAAAACTATTTTTTAAGTATTTATTGTACATAATCATTTGAATTCTTATTATCCTTTGAATAGAGGCAAGACTTTTACATGGGTAACCTAATAATAAAGACTTTGTTTGTTAAAAATATAAAACAACAACAGGATTTTTTAGCCAAATGTTACAAAAAGTTGTTTTAGCATATGTTATCTAATTTACTTTTATTGTATTGACTGTGAACTGTTGTAATTAAAATCATTAGACAAGAGCAGTTTCTATGTATTATATTTGCATACACCAGATCAGTTGTGTTATTAGTTTTGTGTGAATCATTTGAAAAATTGGTATACTTTCTATATTTTTAAGTTTATTTCATATTTGAAATACATATATAATACTTGCACTAATTACAAAAAACAGAGTATCTAGGTTGAATATTACACATTTTTAGATATCATTACTCAAAACTTATGCATATACACATGTGTGCATGCTGATACTGAGCTCATATCACTAATAATGAAAGCCTGAGACTAGGTAGATATTGTGATATAACAATGGATATTTAAAAACAGTTGCCTTGTTTTAAAATGTTTATATATAAAAAAGTTTTAAAGTTGTATCATATATTAATTTAGGGTTAAGAAGAACTTGAACATTAGCACTTAAGCTTGTTCATGAATTAAACTGTAACATTTATATTTTACATTAAGGGATACCTCCTGATTGGCTATTATTATACTGGGACTCAAGACTACGACATCAAGTGGACCATGCCTCATTGTGTGCTAACATTACGTTTGATTGGTGAGTATGATTTTTAATAATAAATATGTATATGCATATGATTGTGCTTTAGATGCAATGTTAATATTACAAACTTTCTCTTAATGCTGAAAAGATGTTTCTCATTCTGTAGAGTTAAATTAATTTTAAATTTTTATTTATTTAGTATGCTTCACACTTACATTTTCACTCAAAGCAAATGGGTTTCTGTAGTGACTTCAAGTAAATCCTGAACCATTACTGAAAGCATAACCATGGATGTTGTTATAATTTATTTGGTAGGAAAAACCCTTTAAATTTATATGGAATTTGTATGTTTAACCTCAAGCTTATGTTAGTGAAAGTTTTATCCCTTGTTTTAAAAGATAAAGCTGAAATTTCAAATGTCTATGACAATTATTTATCTTTAATGGTTGTAATTTGCATCTGAGTAAATAACTTCTTTGATTCTGCTTTGATTTTAGGAGTTTCTTATGACGTATATGATGGAAGAAAAACACTGGTAAGCATTCTTGGTTCCACAGCTTAGTTAGTTATTAAAATCAACTTATTTTGAATGTTGTTGTAATTCTTGTGGTACACAAATATAAAATATGTTGTCTGTATGCCAATTATTTCATGTTTACCAATGCTTAGAGAATTCTTTCAAAATGCATTTTTTGTGCATTTCTCTCTCATTTTATTTTTTCTAAAAAAAGTACATTTAATTATTTTATATCAATATAATGTTGGCACTTTCTGCTTGTGAATCAGACATTTTTTTGGTTTTTCTTGTTTTATTATTAGATCATGTAAGAATTGCCTGTGATTTCTATCAATAGATTCAATGTTGTCTTATCTATAAATCTATAAACATGAGACAATTATTTCTGTGTTTAAAATTGTATGGGAGCTTCTAAGAAGCATCTGGAGTGGAGAAACTATAACTAAATTGGTAGAGAAATTTGAAATTAAACCGTTGTAAGCTGTGATTTTTGTTTATATGTAACATTAACTGATCAAAATGTTACTTCTATCATTATTAATTGCTGCATGCTCACTATGTTTTTTGTAGAAATTATTGATAAGTATCTTGAATCACTAAGGAAAACATCAACATTGCACCAAGTTGGCCACTCTCACTGTCAGTTGCACGTTTATGTATGCATATATTTATATACATGTTAAAACTGTTTTAAATATGCAAATCAGCAAATCCCATAACCACAGTTAATATAAAGTTGTGATGGAACAGAATGTATCAGAACTAAATTTTATCATTTGACATTTCATATATAATTTAGTGTGACCAAAATCTGATCACTTTTAGAAAGGATATGTAATAGAGACTTACATGCTTCCTAGCAATTCCTATATTTCCTGTAATCTCTTATATTTTGTTTCTATAATTTTGAAAACAGGGTTAAGTTCCTATATTTTGGCCCTTTTTTCCTATATTATCCTATATTTGGAAGATTTTTTCCTATAAAAGTGCAAGATTTATGCTGCAAAGAACACTTCTATGAATGGTGAACCATATCAGATGTAACAAAAAATAGCATATCAATTATATTATACAGCAAATATTACATAGCAGTGATGAAACAGGTGTACATACAGTTCCAGGTAGCATGCAGAACAGAATGCATGTAGACTTGCTAGTGACTTTGCTGAGCATATATATATGTAATCAATATGCATCATTGCATAACTTGGTTATTTATAAATATCATTATAGTCTATGTACATCTTGAAATGCTAATTCAGTAAAATATATAGATCTGCTACTTTTGAAACAAAAACTACCTTTTAGTCTACTTTTGCTTTTGCGAAAGTAGAGTTTAGATTGGCTGACATGAGTTCAACTGATTATGATCTGTTCACGAAATTTTCTAACCTGAATCTGCTGTGTTTATGGATTTGGCTGTCTTTTTGTTCTTACTTTTGTGAGGCAGATATGTAAATTAAGCATTGTATCAAAATTTATACTGAATAAATTAGATGAATATTTTATCCACAAAACTGTGTACGATGCCTGTTCACATTTTCCGTCTCAATGGATGCAACAACAGATGTAGACAACATGGGCATTGTTTTTTAACCCTGACTGACTCTAGTAAATGAATACACCCGACCCTGAACTTGTTATTTGCATATACATATGATTTTACACAATTTTCAAAGAGATCCTATCATTCAAAAGGCAGAAATGACAGGTATTTTGCCAAAACTGTAAATTTGGTAGTGTGTTCCATGTTGGAAGTTAAACAAGAAATGCGCACATGCATATTATGTCATTTTGAAAGATGAATGTGATTCTGTTGTTCTGATTGTGACCAAAATGCTCATGTTGCCATAGACTCCATTGCTTCAGTTTAAAAAATCATGCATGGCAAGACAACACACACGTTGTTTATCCCCAGGTAAAAATAAACTCGGGTAGTGACGACTGGAATCACATGATCACCTTGGAATTGGAGCAAAATTCAACTTCTGAAAGAGGATCCACAGTCTGATAAAAAATAAAAACAAAGGCAATGGGAGACAATAACAGTTTTGTGATGACATCATAGTCTACAGAATGGTCAAATACCAGGATATAGATCTTTAGATCCCTATTGAAATTTTATTCAGAATATTAGTGTTCAAATTTAATTGATCATAAATCAAAAATTAATTTTTAATTATAAATATATAAGAATTATGTTTTAATTTAAAAATTAAGTTTTGATTTAAAAATTTGTTTACAAATTAAATTTTAATTAAAAAAATTGTATCTTAATTAGAATGTTTATTCTTGACCAGTAGCTGATGTGAATGCCAATTAAGTGTCATTTACTGCCCAATTTCTTCTCTTAGTTCAGTCAAAATTGATTGCTAGTATGTCCAAAAATATGCCACAAAAATACTTTTTTGACAGTGTTAGAATGATGGTGTTTGATACCATGCATGTCCAAGATCTGGAGACAATATGTTAAATAAAATCTGAGAAATTTTAGGTTCTTTGCTTATTAAAATAAGTGAAATCTCCTCATTATTGGTGCTCAATCAGCAGCTGTGTAGCAGGCCAAATGTAAACTTTCACCTGTCTTTTGCACACGTGCCTGGTTACCCCTCCCAATAATATTCAAATTTAGTTCAGAATTTCAAAATAGTAATTCATTTTAGGAGGTGGTTCTTCTTACTTCTTTTTTCAGAACTGAACATTAATGTGTTAATTCACTGATGTTGATCTTTTCATTCTTTTTTTTATTTGTAAAAGTAGACTTAACAAAACTGCAGGTCTTGCTTTGATTTAACTCTTTTCAACCCAGGCTCGATCCCTGGGACCGATATTGTAACCATTTTGTACTTGTTTTAGTTTTCGTGCTATAACTTTTAAATTAGTAAGTGAATGTTAAGGCAGTTTATCAGTAAACATTACAATGCTTTCATACGCAAAATATCTAATTTTTTTATTAGGTCTTAAGGTTTGTAAAGCAATGTTTCTCTCATGCCTTTTTTTCTTTTCACATCTTGCCTATTTATCATGCAAAGTAATTTTCATTTTAAGATTTAAAATACTTTTTTGCATTAGAAAATTTTTAAATTTCACATGCAAAACCTTTATAATGTCCAGATAGTTATCAAACGTTTCTTAATAAAAAAAACTTTATATTTTATCTGTTATTTTCAGTAATTAATCTCTATGTGGGTTCGATAAATTTGACCAATCACCCAACCACCATAAAAAATTAGGAAATAAACATAAATTATGCCTCTTATATTATAGACTGAACATAAATTATAACACAAAAACATAAATGTTTAGATTAAATAGCTTAAATCTCATAACATTATACATTTATATATATTTATTATTTTTATTGTATTGACATTTCACCTGTGCCTGGCTAACAATACAGAAGTTACAACGACGAGGCTTACCTTCACTCATGTTACCGAATCAAATAACATAAAGGAGACCTTTGGTGTGTACAAAGTAACTTGTCAGGGCTATGTTTTAGTCAACTAGTATTTTGTAAAATACAGT